CGCCGGCCGCGGGCGGAAAGTGAAGTCGCCATGCAGCTGCAAGAACTGTGCCAGCTCTCGCTTCGCGGCCGCGGCGTCGGTCGCTCCGTGCCGGGCGTTGCCTTTGCCCTTGCCGCGGCCTTTGCCTTGGGCCGGCGCTGGTGCGCCGCCTTTCCCCTTGGGCCCGGCCCGAAGCGGCACGGGCCCTTGCTCTTGCCGCGCGGAGCCCCAGCCGCCCCAACGTGGCGCCGCAGCCCACGACTGCCAAGGCCAGTCGCCCCACCCCGACTGCCACGACCAGTCGCCCCAGCCCTGCTGCCAGGCGCCCTGCCAAGCCCCAGCGGCGCCCGCCGCCTGCCGCGGGCCTCCGGCCGCCCTCTCTGCCCAAGTAGGCTCACTCGCGTCCACGCGCGGCGCCGTGGCAGGCGCCGCCTGGCTTCCTGCAAGCCACTCGCTCGGGAGCGGCGGATGCGTCAAGGTCCGCAGCAGCTCTGCCTCCTGCTGGGTGAGTGCGCCATCTGCGCGCTTCGCTTCCAGTGCGGCTGCCAGCTGATTTCGCAACTCTTCCGCCATGGTTCGGCCGGCCGAAGCGCCAAGCCGAGATCTAGTGGCCGGCCGAAGCGCCAAGCCACCACGGGGGCTGTCGGCGCGCGCGCTGCTTTCTGTGCTTGTTGGGTGGCTGCTGGTTGACATCGTCAAAGTTGAAAGTAAGTTGACATGTGTTTGGATTGTGTTGCTCAAGTCACCAAAGTAACTAAGTTGGAGCCAAGAAACCGCAGCCGAGTGAGTGACAAGCCCCCACGCAAAGCTACATACCCGGCCCCTCGAGCTCTTGACTTCTAAGCCAGCGCAAAAAAAAAAGGCTATACGCCCTGCCTGCCTGCCTGACACCTGGACCCCTCGATCTATGAGCCAGCAAAATACTCATGCGCTCGCAATACAAAGCTATGCCCTGCCTGCTTGCCTGACACCTGGACCAAGAGGATCTATGAGCCAGCAAAACAAACATTCTCGGCTTTTCACTCGCGTTTCTTACTCCATGGCCAGCGCTTGGTCGCTGCGCGCGCGCGCCCGAAACGGCACGGCGGCACATGGCGTGTCCAAGTAGCACGCTCGCTGCGCAAGGCTCAAGACAGCACGCCCGCTCGTGTCCGCCACAAGCGGCCCGAAACGGCACGCTAGCTCGGCAAGCGGAGGTCTGGGGTGCCTGGCTTGCAAATAAGCAAAAAGGTTATCTTTGGAACCTCAGCCAGGCAGAGGTGGAGCGCACCAACGGAAGTGCCCAGCAAAAGTTCTTGGGGTGCCGCAGCTTCTGTTCGCTTTCAAAATGTGACGGCGCCAGAAATCTCAAAGGTTAACTTGCTAGGCTCGAGTTTGGTTCTGTTAGCCAATGTCTTCGCTGATATATAGCTCCAATAGTTCCAAATCGCTAAGCACCCCCGCAGTTTTTTCCCCGTCGATCAGGAGCTTTTGCTTCTCTTATCCCAGCGCGCGGCCCGAGACGGCACGCCCGCGGCACGACAGTTTTTCTCCGGCTGACTCTACGCACTCTGCCCACTTAGCTTTATACCACGTAGTTTTTTTCCCCGCCGATCGGGAACTTTTGCTTTTCCCATCCTAGCGCGCGGCCCGAAGCGGCACGCCCGCTGCCCGCGGCCCGAAGCGGCACGCTAGGTCGGCTTCGCGCTCTGGCGCGCGGCTCGAAACAGCACGCTCGCAGCGTGGTCTTTTTTCTCCGGCTGGCCCCACGCCCTCCGCCTACTTGAGCTTACGCCCCTCAGCTTTGTCCCCGCCGGACGGGAGCTTTTGCTGTTCTTATCCTAGCGCGCGGCCCAAGACGGCACGCCCGCGGCACGACAGCTTTTCTCCGGCTGACTCTACGCACTCTGCCCACTTAGCTTTATACCACGCAATTATATTTTTTGCCCGCACATCGGGAGATTTTGTCTTGCTTATCCTAGCGCGCGGCCCGAAGCGGCACGCCCGCTGCCCGCGGCCCGAAACGGCACGCTGGCTCGGCTTCGCGCTCTGGCGCGCGGCCCGACACGGCACGCTCGCAGCGCGATAGCTTTTCCCCGGCAGGCCCCAGGCGCTCTGCCCACCCGAGTTCATGCCCAGCATTTTTTATCCCAGCCGGACGGGAACTTTTGCTTTGCTTATCCTAGCGCGCGGCCCAAGACGGCACGCCCGCAGCATGATAGTTTTTCTCCGGCCGACCCTACGCACTCTGCCCACTGAACTTTATGCCCCGCAGTTTTTTCCCCGCCGATCGGGAACTTTTTTGTTTGTCTTATCCTACCGCGCGGTCCGAAACGGCACGCCCGCTGCCCGCGGCCCGAAACGGCACGCTCGCAGCGCGGTAGTTTTTCCCCGGCTGGCCCTACGCGCTCCGCCTACTTAAGTGTGTGCCCAGCAATTTTACCCCCGCCGCACGGGAGCTTTTTTTTCTTATCCTCGTGCGCGGCCGGACATGGCGCGCCCTCCTACCGCGCGGCCCGAAACGGCTCGCTAGCTCGGCTCCGCGCTCTCGCGCGCGGCCCGAAACGGCACGCCCGCAGCACGATACTTTTTCTCCGGCAGGCCCCCCCCCCCCGCCGGACGGGAACTCTTGTGTATCTCATCCTACCGCGCGGCCCGAAATGGCACGCCCGCTGCTCGCGGCCCGACACAGCATGCCCGCTCAGCTTCGCGCTCTTGCGTGCAGCCCGAAACGGCACGCTCGCTGCGCGCGGTCTTGCCCGCTGGACTTAATTTATACCCTATATTATCTATAGATCTACCTATCTATCAATCTCTCTATCTACCTCTCTATCTCCTATCTATCTATCTACCTCTCTATTTATTTATCTCTCTATCTCTTTATCTATCTAGCTAGTTATTTGTCTATCTATCTACAAATCTATCTATCTCTGTCTATCTCTGTTTCTCTATCTCTTTCTATCTATTTCTCTAGCTATCTCTATATCTGTTTATTGATCTATCTATCTACCCATCTTTCTCTGCACTTAAAAGTTGCGATGTTCAATCCCCGAAAGTTGACTTCGCGTACTACTTTCGTACTTAAAAGTTGCGATTTTCGAGCCCCAGCTGCGAAACTGGACTTCACGTACTACTTTCGTAGTTAAAAGTTGCGATTTTCGAGCCCCAGCTACGAAAGTGGACTTCGCGTACTACTTTCGTACTAAAAAGTCGCGATTTTCAAGCCCCAGCTGCGAAAGTGGACTTTGCGTACTACTTTCGTACTTAAAAGTTGCGATTTTCAAGCCCCGGCTGCGAAAGTGGACTTTGCGCACTACTTTCGTACTTAAAAGTTGCGATTTTCAAGCCCCAGCTGCGAAAGTTGACTTCGCGTACTACTTTCGTACTTAAAAGTTGCGATTTTCGAGCCCCGGCTGCGAAAGTTGACCTTGCAAAAATGCTGCGCCTGCCACCAAATCTGTGCTTGACCTTGCGAAAGTGCTGCGCCTGCCACAAAATCTGTACTTGACCTTGCGAAAGTGCTGCGCGTGCCACGAATTTTGCACTTGACCTTGCGAAAGTGCTGCACCTGCCACGAATTCTGTACTTGACCTTGCGAAAGTGATGCGCCTGCCACGAATTTTGTACTTGACCTTGCGAAAGTGCTGCGCCTGCCACGAATTTGGCACTTGACCTTGCGAAAGTGCTGCGCCTGCCACGAAATCGATACTTGACCTTGCGAAAGTGCTGCGCCTGCCACGAAATCTATACTTGACCTTGCGAAAGTGCTGCGCCTGCCACGCAATTCAAACCTTGCGAAACCTTCGCGCGGCCGTGCCAATGGGCCCGTCTCCGAACCCGTTCCGAACCCGTTCCGAGACCGTTCCGAGACCGTTCCGAGACCGCCGCCGTACAGGCGTCGCAGCCGAGGTGGTTTGCGCATTGTCCGGAAGCCCAATTCACGCACAGCGCCAACGTTTTCTGCATCTTGCCATCCCCCAGCTCGCAGAGAGTGCTTGCGAAAGTGCTGCGCCTGCCACGAAATCGATACTTGACCTTGCGAAAGTGCTGCGCCTGCCACGAAATCTATACTTGACCTTGCGAAAGTGCTGCGCCTGCCACGCAATTCAAACCTTGCGAAACCTTCGCGCGGCCGTGCCAATGGGCCCGTCTCCGAGACCGTTCCGAGACCGTTCCGAGACCGTTCCGAGACCGCCGCCGTACAGGCGTCGCAGCCGAGGTGGTTTGCGCACAGTCCGGAAGCCCAATTCACGCACAGCGCCAACGTTTTCTGCATCTTGCCATCCCCCAGCTCGCAGAGAGTGCTTGCGAAAGTGCACGAAATCTATACTTGAGAAAGCTATCTACGTGTTAAGCTGGCTATATGTCAAAGCTATCTATCTGTCATGCAAGCCTATTGGAAAGCTATCTATCTGTCAAGCTAGCTATATGTCAAAGCTATCTATTTGTCACATGCAAGCCTATTGGAAAGCTATCTATCTGTCAAGCTAGCTATATGTCAAAGCTATCTATTTGTCATGCTAGCTACCTGTCATAGCTATATGTCAAAGCAGCTAGCTCATTTAGTTCCAGTACTACGGAAGTTTCTTGTTAAACTTCCTTTGATGAAAGCCCAACTGCAACGGCGCCAATAGATCCGCAGGGCCCAAAATCATGGCAATGTATAATATGTTCATGTCCTGGGAACTCTCTCGGTCATTTGCAAACCTTCGAACCAGACGTTCAGACGTTCAGGGTCACCTACAAGGGAACCCCGTTGGTGCGTGGTGCGTGGAGGAAGGCACGCAACCTGAAATTAAATCACATTTTGCAACAGCGCTTGATGCTTGGGCCAGGGCAAAAAAAAAGAAGTTTGATGGACCTGGCCGAGTGATGCTAGTGGGGGAAGTGACTCAGGCCAGTTGTCTCATTTTTGGAAGGGTAATCCTGGCACCAGAGGGCACGGAACAGGTCATGCGCAGCGTCACAGACGCATGAGTATGAATTCTATTCATTGCTGCCTTCTTGAGCTCTTGCGTTGGACCCCTTTGGAATTGCTGCAGGACTGGGTTCTGGATCAGCCGCTGATTCTGAAGCCGCACCTTGAAAACTCAGGAGGGACCAGCCGGAGCATCGCTTTTTGTTTTACACAGGCATTGTTTAATTTGGAGTCTGGTCTTCGAATGTGACTCGTTTGCAACCAAACAAAAATTGCGAGCTTTGAGTACGAAAGCAGAACGCGAAGCACACTCCTTGGCGTGAGCTCAGTAATTGCGAGTTTTGACTACGAGAGTACTACGCGGAGTAAGCTCCCGCAGCTGGAGTTTGGGAAAGTGTAACTTTCGAGTACGCAAACAGTGCGCGAAGTATACGTTCGCAGCTGCCTGTCAACAGCGCATTGTGCTTGCAACTCTTGAAAGTACGAATTTGCTTTGCAAGATACAGTCCCGCAGCTGGAAAGCAAAATTGCATCACGTTGCGTGCTTGCTTGCTTGCTTGCTTGCTTGCTTGCTTGCTTGCTTGCTTGCTTGCTTGCTTGCTTGCTTGCTTGCTTGCTTGCTTGCTTGCTTGCTTGCTTGCTTGCTTGAACGCTTCTTTGCTTGCTCGAATGCTTGCCTTGGATGCTTGCTCGCTTCCGAGGGAAGCTGGACAACATCAGCAGATTCAACAGCTTATACAAGCAGTTTTGGCACTTGTGCGGGATGCTGGTTGCTGGATTCGAGGGAGGGGGAGCTCGAGGCAGCCCGGGGCAACTAGTTTCGATGGTGGTGTGCTTCCTGGTAACGCGTCGTCTAGATATATTTTATAGTCCCGTTTCTGGCATTCGGCAGGTATCCAAAATCCCAAGCCATGCCCCCGGAGGAGACAAGATCCTGCATTCCGACGTGGTGGAGACTTTGCTCACAGTATGCGAGGGCATTGAAATGTTGGCACGCAGTACATGACCACGTTTGCCGGGGTCATTGGGAATCCCGTTGTGGGTGTTGACTGTCCGCGATGGCGGCAACGTTTTCCGCGGCCCGGTTGCGACTGTCCATTCATGGTGGGTTGTTGATCATGATACAGTGTGCGTGTGTGTTGCCGCTATGCCAGAAACTAGACGATAGCCTTTACCCTCCATGCCAAAGCCAGATACATTCTTTCACCTAAACAATTCAGGAGCTGAACGCGCGATTCAAGCTGCGGTGCGTGACGCTGCGGAGGGAATGACGCTGCCAGTTATGTCTAACGGCAGTTCGTTTGTGTCAAGCGCGTCTTGTCTGCGTGGAATGTGCAACATTTTTCTATCCACGTGCTGCTGGAAATCAGCGCACGCCATCTTGACTGTACATCAAGTCAGAAGTGCATGCAGAAGTGCACAAGGTCTCACCACCCCTGTTCGGATGCATACAGATCATGCCAGCAAACGTTCTCTTCGCCGGCTCTGCACAATAGCCTCGCGAGCCTTAGTTCCAACCTTGACGCCTACCTGCCAGGAAGAAGTTCGCACGCTGCCAGAGCAGCTTGCGTACGTACACATTTGATGTGTCTTCCAAATGTCATCCGTAAGGGGGTGCTTTCAGAATCACGCAATGGCCGCCTAGCCATGCTGCAACTGCGGCGTGTTTGCATACGGACGTTCTGTCCACTTTGGCAAGCATGCAAGCTTGTTTCCAGTTTCTTGAGATGCAAGAGTTAAGGCAGTCCTGGGTGGCGCCACTGTCCAAGTGTATCCTAGCATCGCATCACCCTATGTCATGTGGCTACAAGTGTTCAATTCAAATGGTTTTAGGACGTGAACCCCCACCTAAATGATGTTCACTGAGAGCTTTCCATCGCCACTGGTTTTGTCTTAATCAAGCGTGCCGTCATGCACAATGTCTTCACCGTGTAAGAGATTTTGCACCAAATGGCAGTCGTGTTTTTTGTGACCCACATCAACTTCGCTTCTCTGTCTGCTGGATTTAGCGACTGGGGAAGTCTATCTCACTTCATCCAATATTTGCCTTGCACTCATTTCTGAATCCTGGGCCCAACAGTCCATGTTGAACAAGACAAGCAAGCCCTGTGTCCAACGCTTTTCATTCGGAGAATGCTTGTCACACTCCTGGAATTGTGGCGCTCTGTCAAGCAGAGCTGCTTTGCCCTCACAGAGGGCAGGCTTGGTCTTGTGGCACGAATTTGCCCAAATCTTGGGCCTGAGAGGCAGACTCTCTGGTCCATTTGGTGCAACCTGCGCCATGGCTTGCCGGACAAGCGCGAGTGGTTGTGTGGTTGCAGCAAAAACGGGTGCGCTTCTCTGCTTCATGGTCTCTGGCCAACGGGGGAACGTTGCATCCGAAGTCAGTTGCCTGAGCCACGGAAACCGCAAGCTGAAGCAAACCTCTCCATGAAGTCCTCTGGATTAAACACTGCTTTGCGGCACTCAGCTGCATTGGCTGAACAAGAATGAACCGTTTTGTTTCTGTCTCAAGTCACATTAGCTGTTCTCATTGTGAGCTCTCAAGCAAGGGAGTGAGCAACTGGTGAGTGATCCCAAACAAACGAATCCGGCTCCTTTGTGTTGAGTTCGCACCTTTGGAATTGACATTGTCGTGAGCCTGGTCGTTCTTTTGGATTCCAACCTGGGTCAGAAACAAGGCTTCGAGGGGCCAGTTTTTTTTGGTTGGCGAGAATGAATCCTTGCCACTCTTGGCTAAACATATCACTACTGAAATGCTGGCACCATGGTATAGGGCTTCTTGGCAAGGTAAGAGGTACGGGCTTCTCAGTTGTTGTTGAAGCATGGCTGTGTCGCCATGTCTGAACGACTACGGAACTGTCAATCATCTAGGATTCATCAGTTGGTGTATCGTGCTTATCATCATCCATTTGTCTTGTGCCCAGTTTGATTTCCAGTGTCGCACGCGAATGCTTTCTCGATTTGTTTGTCGGTTTTGCATGTCAGTGAGTCTGCCAATGTTTCAGCCTTCGCGCGTTTGCTTCGGATTCATTTTCTTCACGTTTGGTTCTCCGCGAGGTGTGGACCGTTTTCGGAGTTCACAGGCACGTGGACGGGAAGAGCCTGGAGGTGGGCTCCGAGAAGGTCTTGCGCCCCGGAGAGGCCTGGGGGCCTGGCCGGCAAGGCCATGCCATTCTTGCAGAGAGTAAAGATGTAAAGATGTGCTGATTGCCATCTCAGGCTCTCGTCTCAACGTGCTGATTGCTTTGACTATTATTGCGGATTCTGTGTGTTCTTTGTTGATCGCTCACGGCATGCTACCAAGCTTTCATGCAGGCGGAGTCTTCTTAGCATCGGAGTTTTGGAGTTTCCATATGGCCGTTTTCTTGCTCTCTCTCTCTCTCTCTTGCGAGGACCATCAGAAAATTTTCGGATCTTCTTTGAAGCAAGACCCAAAGCTGTCGAAAGTAAGTTGCACTCTGACGGCCTTCGATTTTCTCATAGGGCTAGATCCGTTAGAGAGAAACTCGACTTTTGCAGCGAGGTCCGGGTGCTGCGAGGCTATGGCATGCCCAAGAAGCAGAACCCGCGCGCCAGAGGTGCGAAGTCGGGAAGAGCTTCAGAGGTTTCAAGCTGTGGGCTGGGCATCGGAATGCCCCTAGCGCCCCTAGCCCCTGCTCAGCTATGCCGCAGGAGACCTCTTCGTGCGGTTTCAGGTGGACTTCCCCAAGGAGTGTGCATGCGAGTGAAACCTTACAGATTCTATGACTGCTCAGGAGCTACCTGCCGGCACTAACCGGGACACCTTGAGGCACTCGTAAAGTGTTTGCTTGAGAAGTGTCTCAGGCACAGTCTCCATATTTGAGCTTGCCAGGCCACTCCTGGATCCCAAGGCCGGGGTGAGCGCCAGGGCCTTCAATGATGTCATTGCTCTTTGATAATATTTGGCTGGAGGGCCTGCTTTGTTCTGTGTAGTTGCCACGTCTGCTTCTATCGGCGGTGTTTGGCTCTTTCCTACCTCTGGTCCCCCCAACAGGGACGAGAAAGACGAGTTGTGTGTGAGAGTTCTTGAAGAGACTAGCCTGGCAAGTCGAGAACCTGCTATGCTACTTTTCCAGCCCCAGGCTGGGCTGGTGAAATAGCTTCGGACATCTGTGAATCGCTTGCTATGAAGCTGGATGGGGATGCTACATTGTCTGGCTTTCAATGTGTGAGATCGCAACACAATAATTCAGTGTGACTTTGCTGTGGATGGTGGACTTGTCCAGGATGCAGAGCGCTCTCTCAGCAGACAAGTCGATGTTCAGATGAAAGAGTGAGGGATGCATACTCTAGCTTCTGGGCTTGATAATATCAGTACTGCCTGGATGTGCTTGCATCCGCAGAACCGCCCTGCAGCTATTAGCCGCAAGCCTTGTTCAACGTGTCGACGCCATGCCAGCCTTTGCTCGCCGGCTGCTGGGGGTGCCTTGGCAAGTTGTAGATTGCCCTCGGACAACGAGAACAGAGTTTCCCGCGCTCTCCACAGCCCAGGTTCTCATCGTTTCACCTTGTAACGCTGAGGCAGCACTGTTGGGTGTTGCCCAGGGCAGCTGGGTGGAGGTTGTCGAGAAGGCTGGCACTTTGCGTATGGCAGTTCCAGCCAGTTCGCATGCGACTTGAAGCATCGAGGTTTCGGGGTTCAGTTTAATTTATTCCTTGGATGCCTTGCGGCCTGCGCTCGTTGCTGTTGGCAACCCATGATTGCAAGTCACATCTTCTGCCTGAACCCCCTTTGTGGTAGCCACGGGTTGAGCAGAATGGCTTGCACCATCACATGCTCTTCGCTTTAATGCCAAGCGTGCCAACGCAGCTGTTTGACCGAGATGCTGAGGGGCTTGGTGAGTGCAGGCGAAACACAGAATGAAGCGCAAGAGAAACATGACAACGGCCAGGACCTTGTTTCAAGTTTGAAGCGAACCCCTGCGAATGCACTTTCAAAATGTTTCACGTGCCTATTTTGACTCGCGACATGACTGGACGGACCACGGATGAAATCGTTCAAGCAAGCATATGATCAGCATCGCACAACAGATTCGTGGGTAGCTTGTTGCGCATGCCTGCATATGTCAAGTTCTTTCTGTTGCTGATCCTTGTGGTGGGCTTGGCATGGAGCGCTCTCTACCCGCTCCTTGGTTATACTTCATCGGGATGGGCTTGCCTCAAAATGTGCCCGCCCCCCTCAACAGGGACCCACACGTCAGGAAGGTCCCTTTGTTTGATTGGCATGGATGCTCCAGCAGTTCACAGCATGATGAAGTTTGAGCCCTTTGTGGCTTGCCCGTGTGGTTTGGCATCTTCTTTGGAGTGCGGCACCCTGTGGGCAAGGAGCGTTGCCAAGGTCCATCGCAAGCAGTCCCTGCACCGGAGACTGCCGCCTCAGCGATGTGAGACGTCGGCAAGGCAGTCCACCACTTGCATGGCTCTGACTTGTGGATTTTTCAGTTCGGGCCAGGCTCCTTCGCTTTTACATACTTTGGTACGGCTGTGCGTTTGACAAGGCTTGTCATGATGGAAACAACTGCATTGCAGGCGTCGCAGTGAACCTCAGCTGCATACCGCCGGGCATGCGCTTGGCCAAGGCACGCCTGCCGTGGCATGATGTTGTGCATGTTTGAGCGTGTGAGCGATGCACTATGGAGCCACGGGAGGGATTTCAGGCGCTGGGGGATTTGAAGATGGCAGTGCTGGGAGTTGCTTGGCAGAGCTTCGTAGAGCTTGGCAGGATGCGCATGTGAGAGTAGACATGGAAAGACATTTGGTTCCTCCCATGAGCTGGTTGGACAAGTGAGGAGAACGACATCATCTCGCAGAGCCTCTTCAAGAATCACCACTGGGAGGTTACAAGCCTTGAAGAGATGGCCGCCATGGCTCGCACGACGCTGCCAGAGGCCTGGATGATGTTGATGCTTCCTCTAAGGAATGGACAAATGCATCCACCAAAACCAGCCCTTTCAATTGGCCAGAACAGCAAAGCCAATCCACTCATCAGCATTTGTGTCGTTTGCCGAATTTGGCTCGCTGCCAGTCGGGAACATTCCTGCACATTGGCGCGAACTTGGGCTACTACTCTTTGCTTTTTGCCGACCGCGGCTTTCAGGTGCAGTGCATAGTCAGGTCTTGCAAAGCCATGGCCAGTTAGGTTCAGTCAAAGAAAGCAAAACACACGTTAAGTGCACACATGGGAACGAGGGGAAACGTGGGACACATGGGACGCATGGGACATGTCGAGGTGCTTGCTATCGAGCCTATGGCACGCAATCAGCAAGCATTGGAGGGCAGCCTTTGCTTGAACCCGCACCTCCGGGAGCAGGCGAGCGCTTTCGGGTTGGGCCGGTTTGTCGGGGGTTGGAGGTTTTGCTGTAGATGGAACTCAATTCCATCCTGGCTTTTGGCCTCAGAAAAGCGATTGGCATGATTGGCACAGACCCAAAGCTGTTGCTCCTTTTGCTGCAGAGCAAACATGAGCCAAGGAGCCCCTTTTTGGCCACCCTCTTCCAAATATTGTTTTGTTTCGGAGGGATGAAACCTATGATTGGAGCGACTGATTAAGGAGCATTTGCTCCCCCTAGGAAACGCCAAACATGTCTTGACCTCTAGTTACAGCAAGGCACATGGGAGGACTCTCCATGAGGGGATTTCAATTTGGGAAAGACCATTTTTCTGGGACACCTGTTGAGGTGACGCTGCTGCCCTTGGCGTTGGGCGCCCCTTGGGAGGCTTGCGTTCAGCTACCGTGCTTACTGCTTGGGGTCGACACGCGGGAACATTGCCAGGTGGCATGCAGGTGTGTTATCCGCAGTGCCAGCTACTCTTCAAACGTTGGCAATGGCAACTTGGCAAGTCATGCTGAGAACTTGAGCATGTGAGTGCCATAGACCTGCCAAGAAACATTGAAATATCTGACTCAGTGTGGGAGCTGGTTCAAAAAATGAAGAATGCTGCGTCACCTGTTCATTATTCTCCTCACAAGTTCGGTAAGCACATATTGGCAAGGCTCCAAGCTACGCCAGCATTGCGGTCAATTCTCTGCCAGCAAACTGCTCATGTCGAGCAGCAATGGCTGAGGCTTCTTGCAGTGCGGCAATGCTAGCTGCAAGGATGATGACTCCAACTGCCAGGTGACCGAGGCTGTGGAATGCAGATTGTACAAGAGCAAAGAGCAGGGCATGGTCATCGCGGCGCACATATCTTCAAAGTTGGCTATCTCACACGGTTTTATTGGACCTATCAGCCGTTGGCATGTCGCGAGAGGTCATAAGCTTGGACAGAGTCCTGGAGCAGCACCCCGTGCAGTCGGTAGACGTGGTGCGGCCCGGGCTGTGCCGAGCATGGCTGCGAACACTTGAATCGTCCAAACGACACTTGGTTAGGTTCCCGTGAATTCACAAATGTTCACAACTTCGTCCATGTTAGGTGTGAACCAGTGTCCAGCCTGAAGGCACCCACCCCATCGATTGCGCCAGGTTCGAATAGACGTGGAGGCGCACGAGTGCCAGGTCTTAGCTGGCGGTGGAAGTCTGTTTTCCCGCTACCGGCCCAAGTTCCTGCAGGTGGAGACTGTGCCTTGCAAGCAACCCAGGACTGTGCAGATTTGAGGGCCTGTGAGGCGGCAGGGCTGGACATTTTGACTCTCTTGATGGAAATCTAGTAGGTCTGAGGAAGCTGTCCGAGGCATGGTTGAACACCAGCAAGTGTGTTGCCGCTGCAGCAGAGCAGCCGCTCGGCCAAAATGCATGCGGTGCATGGAAGCAGTCGGTGAGGTGAAGAGTCGTGTAGCGTCCTGTGAGTCTGAGGCACCGGTACCGGACCTTCCGGGTGATGTCCTCCACTGTGATGGTGGCTGAGGAGTTTGTGGTGCCCGAGCTGGTGAAGCTAGGGGAGAACATGTGGGTTTGAGGCCGTTGCTTTGTGTCTTGGGGTGATGAGTGGAACCTATCGGAAGAACTGGCATGGCCCTTGAAGTCGTTGGCAATGAAGCTTGCCCTCTTGCAGGCGAGTCTGCTGCCCATTGCTGCAAAGTGACATCCGCCACGGCTTTTGGATGGCTGGACGATTCTGTTCATGAGATAGGGACGAAGGCCAACCAAATTTCGACCTTAAAGTAATCGCGTTGAAGCTTCTAGGCCAGCGCGTTCAAAGGCGGACTGTGGCCAAAGGCTTTTGCCCAGATGGTTTCCCAGAGGTCAAAGAAAGCCTCGGAGCCAGCATGCTCATGCCATGTGCGGGTGAAAAAGACATTTCCTGCAATTAGTGCTGTCTGTCGCTAGTCTGCAATGCCGGTCATTTGCGAGCCGGACTTCATGATAGGCAGAGGTGACAAGCAAACACATCAGCAATCCGCTGCTTTCCCTACATCGTCATGCCCCGCGCGAATGTCCAGGCAAAGGCCAGGGAAGCTAAACTCCAGGCAGCCATTGCGGAGCAGCTTAGACTGCAGCTATGAGGAATGAGAAGCTTTGTGCTTTTCAGCAGAGAACTACCCCGTACATTATAAAATCCAATAGATCATTTCATTGCCTACACAACATGAATCACTATCAGGAGTTGCGTTTACTTGCACTGGACTGCGCCACCATTCCCATGGTTTCACAAAATCGGAGTCCTCGGGTCTCAAAGTTGTCAGCATTTTCAGGTCTCAGCAAGTAGGCAAAGCCGATTGTCAGGCTGGCCCACGCATATTGATGCCGCTGTTCTTTGCCAACCTGATGTTAGAGTGCCTGTACAGATTGTTCACTCCGGCTCCGGCCCGGCTCCCAGGCATTGCGGCGACGGCAAGACTTCCACCAGCTGCCTTGGCAGCTGTGCTGAGATGCAACAAGCCTTGCAAGCTGCGCAGAAGGCGGGAGAGTTT